TTATCCAAGCAGTTGACACAAGAGCCACAATCTTGCACACGCAAGCAACCCCGGCAATGCCCGCAACGAGCCATTCTCATCTTCTTGCCATGGTGAGATGGCAGTGACCGCCGTGGCGTATGGGTCAGGGCCCCTGCAGACCCTGTAGGCTCCAAGTCTCCTGCAGGTCCTGTGGATTCCACCTTTTCCCGTTGGGATCGGGATGGGACACTCTCAGTCTCTGATGCTGATGACGTATCTATTGTAACAGATGGAGGGGAGACAGAGCCACAAAACACTAGGTATCCTACCTCGTTTCTGTTTTCCCTATGCTTTCCCACACTGACAGGCTCCAGGTACCCTGGAGCTCACTGGGTTTGTCCACTTGCCCCCTAAGCCCAAACAAAGCTCTCTACTTGGCTCCCTGGAGCTCTTGTTCATGCACAAACCTTGTCTAGCCTCCCCCTACACAAGTCCCCTACCCTCAGCTGCGAGGTCCTGCCGATCCCGGAGAGGGAGGGCACTGAGGCGGGGTACATCTTCAGGCACCATGGCCCGAGCCTGACCCAAGGCCACAGCAGCATGACGGCAGACATGTTTGATTCTGGGGCCTTGCACAGGTGACTCAGGGCCCTGGGAGAGGAAAAACCAGGAACAGGTGTGGGAAATTGTTCCCTATGATCCTGTAGCCAGCCTTCTTCAGAAGACCCTCCTCTCACTGCATACCGAGGCTCGATCTCTCTTAGCGTCCATGGATTCATCTTCAGACTTGACACAGCCTCTGTCTGGGGTCTGTTTGACAGTCCCCACAGCCTCCTCCATTTGCGCTACAGGACTTGGCTGCTAGGGGAAACAATAGGGTTAGGGGCTGCAAAGTGAGGACCAGTGAAAACGGGAGTAGGAGAGGGAAGGGATGGGGCCAGGGAACAAACAGGTGGAAATGAAAGGGAAACTGGTCAAGTGTTCCTGCTAAACACTGGCTAGGGAGACAGCTGGATGAAGGCAGGGGCCTGCTCAAAGCACTGCACTCACCGACATTGAAGCTGCCACTTTCTGCTGTTGCTGCTGATCAATCTTGAATAGCTGCACCTTAGCTCTCTTAAGGAGGCTAAACATTTTTTCCTCCACCCCAGACAGCGGCAGCGGACCTGGACTTGCACCAGGGGCCTTTTCCAGTGGTGGTGTCTGCTGCGGTGACGGAGGTGGCTGCAGCTGTACCTGTGGCTGTACTTGCGTTTGCTGTGGTGGTAGTGCCTGGGGTAGGAGCTGTGTCTGCAAGGCCTGTGGGGGCTGCTGGAGCTGAGTCTGAAGCTGCTGCCCATTGCTCAGAGCTGGAGCCCCATTGTGGGGCACCTCGACCTTAACAGGAGTGGTGACCACAGGGACAAATCGAGGCAAGCTGAGGTGGTTGGTCCGCCCCACAGCCCGAGGCTCAGGCTCAGCTGGAGAGTCATCAGCAGGAGGCAGCTCTGGCTCAGGGGCTTCAAGAGCCCCAGGAGGAGGAGTAAGCACCGATTCATAGATCTTCAGGTGGGCTTCACTTGGGGTAAACTGGGGGGCCCGAAGGAGTAGGGGCCTCCGGGAGGGAGTGGCAGGGGTGGGTGGTGGAGATGGTGCTGGTGGTGATGAGGCTGGTGGAGGAGCAGGGGGAGGCGGCGGCAGCTCCCGGGTTAATGAAGTCCAGCGAAAGGTGGGCTCTCTTAGGATAGACCGTCTCTTCTCAGGGAGTGGGACTGGAGTAGATGGGGGAGTTGGGACACGAGGTGGAGAGGGGACTGGTACTGGCTCCTGGGGAGCAAGTGGGGAGGTCGCAACGGGAGGTCGAGCAATAGAAACCTCCACCTTTGGAGGCTTGGGAGGGTCTTCGTCCATAAATCGCCGGGGTGTCTTGATAACACGGGAGGAACGGGCACTCACCACAGGCATAATAAACTGCCGTATATTCTTCAAGAAGGTGGTACTTTTGGGGGCCACAGTAGGACTGTCTTCTGGAGGGCTTCCTGTGGTGGTGCTGGGGTTTGGAGTGGGAGAAAAGATGCCCTCTGGTACTGACCGAGCAGCTTCCCGCTCTGCCCGTTGGCTAGGAGTCAGGGGAGGCCGGCCCCTCTTCCTAGAGCATGTAGCTGGCACCACAAGAGGAGGAGACTCTTCTTGTTTCTCTGAGGCTGGGTGTGGGGAAGGGGATGGTGGGGGAGGAGGAGAAACTGGGGGTGGTAGAGGGGATGCTGGAGGTGGAGATACTGATGGGGGTGGGAGAGGAGGTGGTGGTGAAGGGACTGGAGGAGTCAAGGGTGGTGATGGCAGCTTTGCCTCTTCCTTCTCCTTGACTAGCATCACTTCTTCCTCAGTCACAGCTGTCTCAGTCTCCTCTTCTTTGATCTCAGTGTTGTCTTCCTTTTCTCCCTTCTCCTCTCCCTCCTCCTCCAATTTCTGCTCTGGTTTCTTCCAACAAGGGTCCCCTTCCTGTTCATCTTCATCTCTTCTTTGGGGGGTATCCTGCCAGCTTTCTCCATGTTGACTACGACTCTGACCTGATTCTAGTCCCTGGGACAACTGTCCCATCTTCACTTTATTAGCCTTTGAAACAAACTTGATCATAAGGGGAAGTCCGCCTCGGCCTCTGCCCCTGCCTCCACGGCCTCCTCTCCCAGGCTGTCCTCCACGTTTGGGGGTTCCAGGTCCTGGACCAGGTCCCTCCTTGCACTTCCAGCTGCCAGTTCTGTTCTTTACTGGAACCACAGGAGGTGGAGGCTCAGGTTTAGGGATTGTCACAGCCGCCTCTGCTATCACTACTGCTTGCTGCTTTTTCCGACAGGGGCCTGCTGGCCGTCCTGGGGGTCGACCCCGAGACCGACGGGGAGTAGAGGGCTCACATGCCCGGCTCCGGGGGGCTTGGGGTGCCTGGGCCCGCCGGAGAAGTTCAGTCAGTGCCTGCACCATCCGTTCGGTGCCCTCCTCACCCCGTTTCCGAGAAGAGGTCTTTGGGGGACCAGGAGCCACATCTGCTAGGCGAGGAGGAGGAAGGGGAGTCGTCTTATGCTTTCGGCCCCGACCCCGAGGGGCTCGACCTAAAAGGAAAACAGTTATGGCGAGTTGGGTCAAGCTGGCCCGGAGGACTTGATAAAAACACCCCAGAAGGGCAAGGTATTAAGTTTTACTTGTCTGTTATCCCAAAGCCCCAGCTAGCTTGGACTCTGAACACAGGACACTGAGGAACAGGTGGAAACTAGGTGACGGCCAGAGAGCTGACACAAAGGACAAGACCATCCCCGTCAGACTAGAGAGGTAGAGCTTCCCCATCACTCACCTCGCTGGGACCGGAGCGCAGAGCGCAGGGAACTGGGGGCCACATCTTCATCTGAATGAAAACCCTGAAATTCCTGATTTAAGGGACCAGGGGTGAGGGGAGAAACAGCAGTCAGTGCCAAAGCCCTGGTTCCACCTGGGTTTCAGGTGCTGAGGATATAATACTTAGCTTCCACCTTAATGTACTCCCGCTTATTTCCCAAAAAAACTTAACAGACTGAGGCCAAGTCAGAGGAAATGAAGGCACAACGCAATTTTGAACCAGACCATACCAGCACAGCCTTCGGTGGGGCACTGGCCCAGAACACTAGAGGGTCTCTCTCCTCAAGAGGAGCAGTAGGCATTACACTGAGGGCTAATTCCAACTTAATACGAAGCAAGTCCTTCATCTACACCCATGCAGGGCATTCCTAAATGGGAATGCTGGGGGGGAGGGAGGTGGAGCAGGTGGTTTATCACATTAGAAGCCACTCGGAGCCCTCAGAGGACTACTAGCTCTCCTAAGCAATATAATCCACACATCCACACACTCCTCCTTCTCCAAAAGGCTCAGAGGGCCAAATCACCAGCTGCACTCACCCCAGACTCAAGACTCAGCTCTTATTCTAGCCCTCTTCAACCTGTACCCAAAGAATCCTCCACCACTCTATCTTAGAACCAAAGAGCAACAGGGACACTGGGAAACCAGGGATGTGTCGCGGCTTGTGAGGCCCAAGAAGGCAGCCTGCAGGTAAGAGCCCATGAGGCTCTATTCCTGGTCCAGTAAGGCCACGCTGCTGCTGTCAACCACCACTGGTCGAGCATGCAATCCCTGTGGCCCCTTCACCCACTCCTCTTCTGCTCTGCCACTGCTACCGCGAAAGATCAGCTCAGGACACCAGCAGGGCTTGCCTGGAGCCCAGGCGTCTCGCTGCAATCAGGTTTTCCCTGATCACTTTCAAAGGCCCTAACCGCCCGAAAGCTCCACGCAGCCTGCCTCCTTCCATGCTTATTTCCAAGCGCTCCGAGAACCCCACTTGTCCACAACACCCTTCGAAGCTATCCGGAGCCCTGCAAGCCCCTGGCCTCCGCCCCACCCGGCGCAAGAGACGCCTCCGACCGCCTCACCTCCTCCTCGGATTCCCCGTCACTGCTCTCCTCCTCCGGCATGCAGCCACGGTTCGGGCCCCAGCCACGGCCCCGGCCGCGACCCCGGCCCCGCTGAACGCGCGGACCAGCCCACAGACGGCGGAGCCGGCGCAGGCCCCGGCGGAGCCCCAGCAAACGGAGCAGGGCCGTGTCCTCCCCGGGCTCGGCTCCTCCCGGCCCCGCCGCGCCGCCGCCGCGCCGCAGGGTTACCCGCACTCTTTCGGCTCCGCTGCCTCGGCCGCCGCGGCCCCCGCCCCCGCCGGAACCCCGCGGCCGGCCCGGGAAGCGGCCCCGTGCGGAGCCAGGCCCGGGGCAACTGCCGCCGCCCGCCGCCGCCGCCATCTTGGCACCGTGAGAGGGGCCGGGGAGGCGGGGGGAGGGGCGGCCCGTGCGCAGGGCCGGGGGGAGGGGAGAAGGGGAGGGGCGAAGCGGGGCGGCTGCGGCTCACGACAACAACCAGCGCCGCTGCGGGGAGGGAAGGAGAAAGGGGGGGGGGGGGGGGGGGGGGGGGGGGGGAGATGGGCTGGCCACGCGCGGGGCACAACGGGAGCAGGAGTCCGGGACGGTCGGCCGTCACGCTCAGGCCACACCTGGAAAGCGAACCCCGCGTCGCGGCCTGAGAGCGGGAGGCGCAAGGACATCTGGGAAATGTAGTCCAGACGGCCTTGCTTCTTCCGCCAACAGCTAGGGCGCGAGAACTGAGACTACGGGGTCTGCGACGGAGAGCCGGGGAGCCAGTTCCTGGTCTCGAGGAGGTGTGGTCCCCGGTTCAGACTCCTCCCATTGTTCTAGTCGGAACTAGCGGCCTGCACGGACTACCATTCCCAGGGTACCGCGGGCGTCGGACCCTGGGAACCTGACCGACACCGCCAGACGAAGTTCGCTAATGCGCTAGGCGTGGGCTGAGGGAAGGGCGGTGGCGTTCACTTCTAAGCGCATTCCCGTAGCCGCATTGCACGGCGCGGAGGGGAGATGCTTGAGAGGCTGGTCCCCCGTCCCTTGCTCTCAGGGAGAGCAGACGGGTACCTAAAACCACGACCTGAGCCTGCGCTCCTCTCAAGTCTGTAGTACGCGCGCGGTGCATTGCTGTGGAAGGGACCATAGCCTTGGAGTCCTCACAGCCACCGTCCTCGTCCCTGCGTGCTGCCCTCGGGAATTATTCGGAGTCCCCGGAAATGAAATGCCTGACTCTCTGTTTAGTGTGTGAATGCCCAGCAGGGGCCGCTACAGGACAAGGGTTGGACACACCACCACCCACACACCCCGGCGCAGACTCATCCTGACTGGAGAGCACAGAAAACTCTTTATTATAATGATGAAATTGATAGTCCCCAGTTAGTCTTCACTCCAACCAACTAAAATATGTCTTTAACTCGGACTCTCCAGTCGGCCGAGACTTCTGCAACGCACGCGCATCCAAAGAGGGTTCGTGGTTCCTGTCCCGCAGCGCTTCTGCGGGACAAATTAGCCAGGTGGCAACTGAGACAGGACTCGCCTTTCATTCTTTGGTTGGACACTTATCAAGCCAGAGAAGCTACCAATACCCGGTCAGGTGCCAGAGGAGGAGGTAGGACTCCGGGGAGAGATCGAGGTCCGACTCGGCCTCGAGGAAGAGTAGAGGAAGGTGGAGCGTATGGTCCATCCAGGCGGCAGCTGGCTGGGCGAGTGGCCACGCATGTGCGCCTGCATGGAAGCCAGGCTGGGGCAGCCAACCCTGCACAGAGGGCAGCGATAAGGAGCAGCCCCATGTGTCCTCAGGTGCTTGGTCATGGCAGAGAAATCCCGGGAGCGCTGAGGACAGAGGCTACAGGAGAAGGGCTTCTCTCCTACAGGTGGAGAAAGCCAGAGAAGGAAGAAATGGGCGAAGGTTGGCCAAGCTAGGGGAACGTCAAGCAATGGGGCAAGGGAAGAGCTGGCAGACCAGCAATGGGAGCAAAAAAAAAAAAGACAAATGCACACAGTCCATACCTGTGTGGACTCGGTAATGCGTCTCCATCTGATGCTTGAGTGAAAACCTCTTTCCACAGACAGAGCAAGAATAGGGCCGAGAGCGAGCAGGAAGGGGTAAAGGAGGGTGCTGGTGAGACGGGCAGCGCGGTGTGCGTTCTTGACCCACACAGGTTGCCAGTGGGCCTGTGTGGACAGAGAAGTCAAAGTGGCATGACCAGGACCCCTTAGGCTGAATCCATCCATCCAGGCAAGCTGAGCGCTTGGGAGGGGCAGAGGCAGCAGTTCTAGTACCCTGCTTACCTGTGTACCCTTGCCCAGACTCTTCTATCTCCCAAGGGCTGAGTTGTTCAGGGCCCTGGGGAAAAGATCCTGCAAGTAGAGTGTAGAAGGGACGCTGCTAAGGCTGGACTCCAGGAGCCCAGCGGCTCTCTGGAAGCCCTGGACGGAACAGGAAGGGGCTTACCTGGAGTCGGGCTGGAGGAGGGCTGCCGATTCTGACTCCAAAGACCTTTGGAGTGGTTCAAGGTCAGTGGGATCCTGGATGGAGAAGAATGATAGCCTTGGCAAAGCCTGAGAACCTAACCAGCTCCGGCCTCTCTCGGGACCAGAATACTTTGTTGTCTCCTTAACTCAGGAAATGCAGAGATGCGCCTTCCCACGCATTACTGCTGCCTCTCCTGAGCTGCTCCCTCCCAGCCTAGATCTTCCACTAAGCCCTCCTTCACTCACCTCTGGTCTTGAGGCCAGACCTGCCAGGCTGCAGTGATGGGGGTGCTAAGGGAGAAGGGAACGCCATATCTGGGCGGCCACAGGAAGATGCTCCACAGGGCAGGTTGGCCCTCCCCCAACCAAGGGGCCTCAGCCCAACAGGGCCTAGGAATGAGGCTGGTTAGGAGGGAACCTGGTGAGGAAAGGGGACCAGAGCACCCACGAAGACACTCCTCAGAACCCTCAGGGCTCTCTAAATCTCGGATGGCCTCTCCTTGCTTCCTCTCTGCTCCCCCGGAGCCCACCGAGGCAGGACTGAGGGCCTCCTCTGATCTCCTCTTCCTAGTTACCGCTGCCATCTCCAGGCTCTCTCCAGGGGCTTTGTGCTTGTGTACGGTCTCCTGTCCTCCCTCATGGCTTCCAAAATCCTTCTCTGGTGTCTGTTTCTCTTCAGGGCCCCCCAGTCCTCTCTCAGAACTCCTCATGAGTTCTTCTGAATTATGGTGCCTTTTCCGTCCTGGATCCAGCTTGTCTTCATTCTTCTGCTTTTGAGCTTGCTTGCATGCCTCTTCCAGGGCCTGCACCCCCAAGGCTCTGGCTGCCTCTTCCAGGTTCCCCAGCTCCCCAGGCTGTAGCTCTACACTCTCTCCATATACAAAGGTCAGAAGCTGAGCAAAGGTAGATGGGCTGATGCCTTCAACCAGAGCCCACCGGCCCCTGCAACCCAGCCTTGGGCTTGCTCCTGCCAGCACCAGACTGTGAGCAGGGAACTCCAGGCCCCCTACAGTGATCAGGGTGTCACACAGTGCTGGCCGAAGCCTCGCGGCTAACTGCACCAACCTATCAGAGCCATAGGGACTAGTTATTCTTGTGAAGGTCTGGGACATCGCTCCTGGCTAATCTACCAGTTTCTGAGGCTCTAAAAGAAAAGTCACAATGTGGGGTCCATGGCCGAAAGGGGAGGGAGAAATCGCATATTCAGGCCTGTGGAGGGGAAGGGAGAAAGAGTGAGTGACTCTCTGGTTTCAGATTGGGCTGTCTATCCTGTATGAGTCATATAAACTCAGTCAAGGGCAAGCTGTGGGAATGTGGCAGCAGGAGAAGCCACTCTGGGGCCTAGGGAGCAAGAGCCAGGCAGTTAGCAGAAGTATCAAGTAGTGAAGTTAGGACTGATTTAGTTAGCAACTCAGGTTTAAAGACTTTTGCTTCCCTGGGCTCTTTTGCAGGGGAAACCCTCTGAGCAGTCTCACTTCACATGAAACCTGGCAATTATGAATGGAGTAAGGTGTAAGTTCATGAAGGAACTCAAAAAGCTTGTGGGTCCTCCCCCGCTGTAAGCCCAGAAAGCCTGGGAAGGCAGCAGACAGGTTACACCTCAGGAGAGCAGACCCTAGGGCATCCCTCTCCGAGGCTGAAGCTTCTAGAACACATCCTCAGAGAAGGGATTAGGAAGACCAGAGATTCCCATCCAGTGAGCTGAGAGAGCCACAAGTTTAGAGAAGGCTTTGTAAAGCCTGTGGGCCTGAGAGAGGAAAGGGAAACTGGGGAAAAGGAAGTTCTTTCCTCTCAAAATGAGGCTAAGGAATGGCTTGATTTCTGGTTTTCATAAGCCAAAAAAAATGAAGATCAGAAAGAGCCCAACAAGCCAGGAGTTTAAGCGCACACAAAACCATCACACCGGCCTCCCAGAATGTTGGAGGTGGACATTGAGAAATAGCCCAAGTGTCTTAGCACCTAGCAGGCCTAGCCCTCCCTGTGTGCAGGCCCTCCATGAGTAAGGAGCCCTGAAGGAGGGAGGGGTTATACATGGACACCTTGGGGTGAGGGATACAAGCTGGCAGGGAGTAGACAGAAATGGTGGAAAGGCTCGGCTGGGGAGAGACAGTCACTCACCTCCGTAGCTGCCTCCTGGCACCGCATGCTCTCTACTGCTCTGGGGCTCCTGCCCCCCACCTCCAGCTAGCTCCACCCCGTCCTCAGTCATCCCAAGTATCAGTCTGCCACAGTCCCCCAAAGGGGTGTGGCCTTATACCTTCTGTCTCTGCTGGAGACCCACAAGAGACTACCTTCTACTTGTAACAACCAGACAGTTCCTCACCCTAAACTAACTCTTACTTGTGGGTTCCTTATAGTCAAAGACGTGAACCTCTGGTGACAGGCATTTTGGAATAGTTAGAGGCTGAGCCTCATCTCTGCCATTTACTAGTTGAGTCACCTCTGGCAAGTCATCTGTCTGAGCCTCTGTCACCTCACGCATCTCATCTCAGTGTGTCCTTCGGAGGTGGAGGCGCGATGAAGAGCCATGCATACGGGAGTGCTCTGCGAGTGCAGGCCAGCGTTCAGCTGCTGTTAGTTCTGTGTCTTAGAGGTGACCGTTGCATGGAGTAGCTGGAGACCATTTCTGACACCTCAGAAGAATAAGGACAGAAGCGGAATTTGAAGCGCTTCTTATTCTGTAGGCTGACCCTTGTCCTCTGGACCCCAGCAAGGACCGGGTCTGTGTGACTCAGATCCTCCCAGCAGACTCTGAGGGGGTAACCCCAGGAAGCCTGTGGTGGTCTTCGAGTAGAGAAATCTTTCCTGGGCTGATGACAAATGACATTTCTCTGAAATCAAAACCAGGGGCTTCTTTCACTTTCTGCTCGAAGGGTCAAGGTCCCTGGAGATTTCCACCTCTTCACAATTTTAGCCTCTCTCTCTCTCTCCCTCTCTCTCTTCCTCTTCCTGTGTAGTTCAAGATGTCCTTGAAATCTCTGTCCTGCCTCAGCCAGGCAGTGCCACCACAGCCACCACACCCAGCTTTGGCACTCTTAAATTTGAGGAAGGGATAAAGCCTTGGAGACTTTATCTTTTTCTTGCTTTTCTTTTTTCCCCCATCCTATCAATCTGAACCTTAAGCTGATCTTCTTATTCACTTCTTTCCGGATATCTGTGTCTGGTATGTCATACAGATGTGATAACTAACTGGGAGAGAAACCAGCCAGACGTTGACAGACTGCTTTAGTGACAAGAATCAGTGTGAGTCCCCATACGTTTCTCCCTAGATTCCAGCCCCCTCCTAGACCCAATACGGTAAGGTTTGCTTTTCTCCCTTTGCCCCAGTCCAGGGTATTCAGAGCAGCCTTCTACCACTCTCTCCCTCCAGGTCTAGGATGCTCTCCCTCCCATTCTAGCTTGGATGCAGGCAGGTGTCAGCCCCTTCTAGATCAGCCAGGGTGTGTCGGTGGGTGAGGCTGGTGAAGGGGCAGTAGGGTGGAGATAGGGGAAGATGAGTCAGAGCGAAAGGGAAAATGCAAATGGCAACCTTGTGTTCATCTGCTCCCCGAATGTTAAATATTTTCCATTTCTGAGCTTTCTAATTCCTAACCTCACACACTTGGGAACACATTAGATATTCCTATGTAAAAGACACCCAGAATGTCAATCCCTCTGATAGGCGTGCAAACACACAAACCTTCTCCAATACGAAAGCGCACAGTCTCTAAAAACAAGAAGTGGTACAAAGCCACAGTGGTAGAGGGACAATGTACTGGGGTCTGGCAACAGCCTCTTCACCCACAGGAGGAAGCCCCTCCCCTCCCCTGCCAGTGACTCAGCTGCCCCACTAGTATGCATTACCCACTGATGACCAAGAAATGGGGGCTGCTCAAAGTATCTCTGTAAGCAAAGATAGCTGACGGGCGGTGACAGTGGGCTTTCAGGGCACCGAAAGGGAGAAAAGAGCAAGGGGACGCCCCACTTAGTAAACGAAAGCCCCCTAAGAATAGGAAACCCCATCTTGCCTCCCACTTGGTGTCTACCCACGGTAAGGCTATCTATCCCCTTAGAGAACCCTTAGAAGTATTCTCAGGGCCCTTTGAACCCGAGCCCTTATGCTAGTAACACTTGAGGTCCTTCCCTAGCCTCTTTCTACAGCCATGGAAGGGCAATCCAAGTCAATGGGCATTAAACAATGACAACAGAAACAGATCCTACAGCGGGCACTTTGACTTACAAGGGTAGGGACACACTGTTAGATCACAGACCCTCTGGCTGCCTTAGCCCCACGCCCTGCTGCACTCCACCTCTCTGGGACACAGTTAAGAAGCCCTACTGTTCTGTGGCCTTGCAGCCCCTCGCCTTGCAATTGCAATATAAGGCTATCCAATCTGGATCCTTGTAATGCCAGGAGTCACACAGATCTCGCTCGACTAAATCACATGGTATAAAACTTCTGCTACTTCATAAAAACCTATACAAGTCAGAAAAATCCTCCGGGATCAGATGGCTTTTCAAGACTTCTGCTCATGCTGCACATGGAGACTGTCTCTCCTAATGAAGTACTTCTCTAGGAAATGTTTGTTTGTTCGAGTCAGGGTTGCTCTGTGTAGCCCTGGCTGTCCTGAAACACTCTGTAGACCAGGCTGGCCTCGAACTCACAGAGATCCACCTGCCTCTGCCTCCTGAGTGCTGGAATTAAAGGTGTGTGCCGCCACCACCAAGCTCTGAGGGACAATTTCAAGTTTGATCCTTTCCCATATTACCTGCTGCATCTGGCTTCCGATTTATCACCTGACTTATTGTTCTTGGAATGTCTCCCGTCTCTGAGAAAAGTGGCTCTTGCTGGTAATCCTAGTACTCAGGAGGCTGGGGTAGGAGGATCAGGAGTTTGAAGTCAGCCTGAGCAACGAGACACTGAATGAAAACAACAAAAAAGTCCCCATTTTCTGCTTCCCAGGCTCATGCAGAGAGCATCATCTGTTACCTTCACCCTGGAATAGACAGAGTCAAGAAACCTCAGGTCAGGAGGACACAGCCTGTGACAGGCAGAGGCTAACGCGGATAGATTTGAACATATGATCGGAAGAGAAATACGTGGGGAAGGGAGGCATAATTGTCTCACTGTTTTGTTAATTTGATTTTGTTGTTTGAGATAAGGTCTATTGCCCAGGCTGACCTGGAACTCATTCTATAACCCAGGTTGACCTCATGGAAATCTTCCTGCCTTAGCCTCCCAAGTGCTGGGTTCTAAAAATGAGCTGGTCCCACTGGGTTAGGAAGCGACAACTGTGCCCCTGAGGTGAAGCGGCCGCCAAGGCCAAGTACCTGGCCAAGATCATTGTGATGGGTGTGCAGGCGATGGCCAGAGCCTTGCCAGGGCCCTGAGGCAGGAGTTTGCAGCAAACCAGGCAGCTGCTGATGCTCGGGGTTGTGCTGGGCACCAGTCTGCAGTCACATCCAACCTCTCTGGCCTCAGCCTCCAAGAGGCCCAGCAGATTCTCAACATCTCCAGGCTGAACCCTGAGCTGGGCCAGAAGAATTATGAACACCCATTTAAAGTGAACAACAAATCTGTGGGTGGCTCCTACCTGCAGTCAAAGTTTGTCCGTGCAAAGGAACGCCTAGATGAGGAACTCCAAATACAAGCCCAAGAAGACAGAGAGAAAGGGCAGATGCCCAAAACGTGACTGCTGGGCATGCCCCACCCCACCATTGCCTCATAATTTATAGCGTGGTGATGAATGTCTTTTCCGTGTTAAAAAAAAAAATGAGTCATTGTACCCGGCTTTCTCTGTTCTCTTTAATACCATATTACTGAATCAAACTTGAGGGCTGACATTTTCATTCCTAGTAGTAGAACTGGCCAGTGACAGTAAAGGGAATAAGCGAGAGGTGCTCAGTGCACTCAGCCTGGATCCCAAACCAAAGCTTCTGTAAACCACTGTATTGTAATGCAAGCCCAGCTCAATGTAAAGTGACATCAAAGCCATACAAATATTGATTCTGATTAAATATTACAATTAAATTTAGACTATCACAATATGCCAGGAGTGGTTGTTTTGTGGAAAATGTTCTTTTTGTCCTCCCTCACCCCCCTTTGTTTGGAGACAGACTCTCACTGTGTAGACCAGGCTGGTCTGTCAATTCCCCCACCTCGGCCTCCCAAGAGTTGTGATTACAGGTACCACACCTCCCTTTGTCTCGTGTGATTGAAACAGAGTCCATGCCTCAAGCCAAGCTGAACAGAATTCGGTTTAGAAAAATTCTGTTAGAGCAGAAATCTTCCCAGGAGCACATTTTCCCCCAGATCAAGGTTTCCAAATGCTCCACAGTGTTTGCACATACTAAGACCAATTATCCAAATCTGAAAACGTCTGAGCTGCTCACCCGAGTCAAGCACACCTCACACGTACCAGAGCAGACAGACACCTGGAGAATTTGTCCCCTTCTTCCCTTAAACCATCACATGAGGCTAAACTGAAGAAAAAGAATACTTGCACTGGGCAGAACACGAGAACAGAATATAGTCAACGAGCAGGGGAGCCCCTGTGGTAGCGCACCTTTGTGGATCAGGTGACAAAGGAGTGGGACCAGCCATCAGAAAAGATGGGCACCTTGAGTCTTCACAATCCCCTTTTCAGTCTCACTGTAAAGCTAAACTCGCCCCACGACCTCAGCCTCCTCATGGGGACTGCTTCAAGACGAGGACCAAATATCCATATTCACCTAAACCCAAGCAGAGGGCCTCACTCTGGCCTTCTTGGGCGTTGTCCCCTGTAGGCTGAAGAGTCCAAGGGGATCAAGGAAGTGCTCACTTGGATACTGAGAGAACCCCACACATAAAATCACCCATATAACCCTAGACTATAATCTGGGAATCCAGAGCCCAGAGTTTACTAGACCAAAATGATGCTAAGAGCCCAGAGTTTACTGGACCAAAATGATGCTAAACCCACAAGGACCACAACTGTCCACTCATGAGAGTGCACTGTGAACAGATGCATACTTCAGGGCCTCTGTTGATGGAGGATATGCAGGTTAGCATATGAAACCGACATATACTGTATGTACATAGACAGTGCTGGGTGGTGTGGCACAGGCCTTTAATCCCAAAACTCCAATCCGAGCGACCCCAAAGCTTCCCTTCACGTGCACACCAGCGAACCACAAGCCTCTCCCTCCAGTTATCAAAGCCAGGCGGAGCTGGTGGCGCCCTGTTTACCCAATTCAGCCTAGGCTGGCCTCAGGGACCATGGACAAAAGTCAGAGAACATGCTGCCTCACCTGCTCGGCCTGGGCCCAAAAGTGATGAAGAGACGCATGCGACCTAAAACCACTCTGATCCTCAACAATATCCCTTAAGGACACCCTACCCTCGCCCTAACATTCTCTGGACTAGGCCCACTATCAAAGAAGAAAAAGGAAGAAAAGCCATAGCACTTACCAGTTCGGTCTCTTCCCACATCAACCTCACCCACTTTGAGGGCAGCATAGGCCAAACTGACCGTTAGAAAGCCAGGCTCAACGCAAGGCAGGGGGCTCGAGGCCACCAGCGCGTGCACAGCCTCCGTGCGCTTGGTGCTGAGGCGGACGCTGATTGGCTGCAGCTCTGGTGCTGACCAGCCAGTGAAGCACCCCAGAGGCTTCTCGCTGCAGCTGATTGGCTGTGGAACTTGGACCTTGAATCTGATTGGCCTGGGGGAGGGGGTGTAAGTGTCAAGGCGTGAAGTGGAGATGTCATGTGTTCTTAACCAGTCCACAGTGTTGACTGGCTTCCGATTTTGCCCCGGTTTTGCCCTCTCTACTGACATTTTTCTGTCACTGTTAATGGCCTTACTGGGTCCTTCAACACGAACTCAAGGAAACCACCATCTTTCCTGCATATGTTCTGCCCTGCCGTTTGAGCACCTCCAGTCTGAAGACTCGGGCTTTCTCTCAACCCCCACAATGTGGAGTTTACAATGTACAGGGAAGATGTAACGGAATGCAGCGTCTTCGTCAGTGCAAGGTCCAAATAAACATAGCCAGACATGAAAGAAGGGAGACAGACTTATCTTCTGTGAGATATGAGGAGAGCGTAGGAATAATTTCTAAGGGGGTATTCTCCATCAAAGAAAGGATGAGGAATTTTTTAGGGAGGTTACACATACCCATTTTGGGGAGACACTGTGAGAGGGGTTCATTCCTGCATACACCTAGTTTGTACCATAAAATTTTTTAAAATTATTTCCTTTATTTTTTCTGTTTTTTTCTTTTTTTAATTTATTAAAGATTTCTGTCTCTTCCCCACCGCCGCCTCCCCTTTCCCTCCCCCTCCCCCAATCAAGTCCCCCTCACTTGTCAGCCCAAAGAACAATCAGGGTTCTCTGCCCTGTGGGAAGTCCAAGGACCNCAAAAAATATTAATAATAATAATAAATTATTAAAATGAGGCCAACAACAAGCATGGGAAAAATGGGTATTTTGTGGTCTTTCCCAGAATCCATACAAAGTACAGGAGTCTGCTTTATTCCAGTGATTCTTAGCCTCTCAGGAGCTCACCTTCCAGACACAGGAGCAGCCCTTTACATTGAACATTTTAGATACTCATACCATACATGTAAATAAATAAATAAATAAATAAATAAATAACATATCCCATAGAGCGCTCTGAAACCCATGCCTGTGCAGGCTAATATTTCCATCATCTTTCACGGAATACATACATGTGCGCACATTTCCTTATGATTCCCAAGAGCAAACAGACCGTGGAAGCCCAGTCATGGGACTGCCTTCCATATCTGCATCCTGGTGTACCCAGAAGTGCTCTGAGAACTTTAACACCGCTCCACAGCCAAGTGAAACCAGGGGTCAGCACACTGTCCCCCCCCCCCCCCCCCCCGCAAGTGTAAAGTAAAACCATCCGTGAGCCAGGAGCGCACACTTAGAATTCTATCACTCCGGAAACTGAGGCAGGAAGATCGTAAGATTGGGGCCAGACTAAGAACGTATAGCAAGTCCCTGTCTCAAAAAAACCAAAGTAAAAGGTCACCAGTCAAGATGATTTCCTACAGCTCAGAGGAGCTCACGCAGCTCTCGCCGACGGGCCAGCACAACTGCTATACCTGCTCCGTGCTAATAGCTCACGCCACAGATCCCATCAGGGACGCATTCATTCCTATTGGGCCACAGGCTTGAGTGGGGTTTAGAGGCTCCCTCCCCAAAGCCCCCAGAGAACCACTGGCCAAACATCCTGGTCACATGCCCAACCTAACACACAACACTGAAAACTCTTGAGCACGCCAACCTGTTGGCGGGAAAACATAGGTAGCCTGGGAAAATGGCTACTGACAGTTTCCCAGTAGGCTTTTAACCTCACTAACACTGACTCCAATCCGAGCTGGGTCCAAAGACCCCAAAGCTTCCCTTCACATACACACCAGCGAACCACAAGCCTCTCCCTCCAGTTATCAAAGCCAGGCGGAGCTGGTGGCGCCCTGTTTACCCAATTCAGCCTAGGCTGGCCTCAGGGACCATGGACAAAAGTCAGAGAACATGCTGCCTCACCTGCTCGGCCTGGGCCCAAAAGTGATGAAGAGACGCATGCGACCTAAAACCACTCTGATCCTCAACAATATCCCTTAAGGACACCCTACCCTCGCCCTAACATTCTCTGGACTAGGCCCACTATCAAAGAAGAAAAAGGAAGAAAAGCCATAGCACTTACCAGTTCGGTCTCTTCCCACATCAACCTCACCCACTTTGAGGGCAGCATAGGCCAAACTGACCGTTAGAAAGCCAGGCTCAACGCAAGGCAGGGGGCTCGAGGCCACCAGCGCGTGCACAGCCTCCGTGCGCTTGGTGCTGAGGCGGACGCTGATTGGCTGCAGCTCTGGTGCTGACCAGCCAGTGAAGCACCCCAGAGGCTTCTCGCTGCAGCTGATTGGCTGTGGAACTTGGACCTTGAATCTGATTGGCCTGGGGGAGGGGGTGTAAGTGTCAAGGCGTGAAGTGGAGATGTCATGTGTTCTTAACCAGTCCACAGTGTTGACTGGCTTCCGATTTTGCCCCGGTTTTGCCCTCTCTACTGACATTTTTCTGTCACTGTTAATGGCCTTACTGGGTCCTTCAACACGAACTCAAGGAAACCACCATCTTTCCTGCATATGTTCTGCCCTGCCGTTTGAGCACCTCCAGTCTGAAGACTCGGGCTTTCTCTCAACCCCCACAATGTGGAGTTTACAATGTACAGGGAAGATGTAACGGAATGCAGCGTCTTCGTCAGTGCAAGGTCCAAATAAACATAGCCAGACATGAAAGAAGGGAGACAGACTTATCTTCTGTGAGATATGAGGAGAGCGTAGGAATAATTTCTAAGGGGGTATTCTCCATCAAAGAAAGGATGAGGAATTTTTTAGGGAGGTTACACATACCCATTTTGGGGAGACACTGTGAGAGGGGTTCATTCCTGCATACACCTAGTTTGTACCATAAAATTTTTTAAAATTATTTCCTTTATTTTTTCTGT